TGTGAGGGATAGATTTACAGTCTTTACAATGGCATGCACTGTATAAAGGTCTTAGATCATGTAATTTGCAAAACTAACAACTCTTAAAACTGGTTTATAGAGTTTTTGTCTACTGTAAATCTTTTGAAAAGATGTTTCATGAGCTGAACAATTAATATGTTGTCAAACAAGAGTACATTGAACACACTGTACTCCTTTCCCTCACATCCCCATTTTAATTCCTGTCAGAAATTAAATATGGCGCTACCCTGACTAAGGTCTTCTGCTGTCCATTTTGCGCAAATGGTGGTGATATGGTGCAGTTTGAATAAGTACTTCAGAAAACTCGGGTACATAAAACTGTGGTATTCCATCAGCATCGACAGAAGAATGCATGTGTGAAGACTAAATGTAATTCATTGCCGGTATTTTTTATTTGTTTTAAATGGAAAAGGTTCTGAAAAAGAAGTGTCCTTGGTTCCCAGCCCGTTCTGTGAGAAGCACAGCCACATCTACATCTGTGAGTAGCTGTCTTGCTGCCCAGAAGAACTCGTGGCATGAGTCATGGCAGATGCCCCTCTTCTGCATTACTGAATTAAGGGATATAATACACCCACACCCACACACACACCCAAATTCTCTCAGAGCTTTTAATGTATGAAAGTTTTTATAGTGGATTATTGAGATTACCCAAAAACTCTTGTTAAGAATCTGTGTCCCTATAAGAGCAGTATAAAGGGAGTCTAAGAGAGCGAAGGTTTTGAGTATTAGCAATAATAAATAGCTTGGTCCACTTCACAGTTTATTCTGGCCAAGAACTGCCTGCTAGACAGGTAGAGATCTGAGACATCTAAATTTCATTTGTGTGATATTTAGGGACATAGATAAATGATTCCACAATCCAGTCTGTGCACTCCGAAGCAGCGTAGCAGTCAGCAAATCCAACTCAAACTTGTCACTTTTGTGTGCAATATGCATCAAAAAAACAGTGAATCTACTGCAGTCAGTCCAGGGATGTGTCGTCTAAGGTTAAGACTACGAAACTGTCTTTATTTTAGAAAAAATAGATAAAGAGGAAGATAAAGAGAGATTGGGGAAGGCAGAAAAGTTCAGCAGGGTTTAAACTGTTTTCGCAGTTTCCTCTTGTGGTTAAAAGACTCTTGAACAATTTATATCCTCTTACACTATCTCACTCTCTTTCTATCTATATCCATATCTTATTTCTGCTCTCTCCTCCTAACAGCCATTAGTCAGCTCAGCGGCTGTGGCATACTTTCTTTAAACTACTCTCTCACACACACACACACACACACACACACACACACACACACACATTCATGCTCTCTCTCTCTCTCTGCAAACATTAGTCTCTCTCTGCTGCCGAAAACGGAACCAGATCATATATCCTCTATTGATCAGCCTCAGATCTAATCGGCCAGCCCAACCTCTCTCCTTTATCTCCTCCTTGTACTTTGTGGAACCTAATTTGTGCTTGCTGCTTCAAGCAAGACTGACCTTTTAAAAAAACACAAAGACTGGTTGTGGAGCTAAATGGCCAAATTCAAATAACTCACAAAACTGGTCTAGAATCTGCCTCCCATATTACAGTTTTTCTGAATTGCTCAAACACATTTCTTGATACATCACTCATTTTCTCAAAACCTTAAACACAAACCCAAACCTTCAAACTAAATTCACAGAACCCCTGACTCTTCTGGCAAAATCAAACAATCGCTTCAAAACCATTTCACCTGTAGTCAAAATCAAACAAAGCTTTCAAATCACACATACATTAGTCAATAATATACACACTACAGATCATTCCTTAGACACTACATCAAAAAATGGAGAACACAGTGTATAGTGCATGTAGTTACAAAAAAAAAGTTTATTGTATATAGTAATTATTTTGTCGCTTCAAAACCATTTCACCTGTAGTCAAAATCAAACAAAGCTTTCAAATCACACATACATTAGTCAATAATATACACACTACAGATCATTCCTTAGACACTACATCAAAAAATGGAGAACACAGTGTATAGTGCATGTAGTTACAAAAAAAAAGTTTATTGTATATAGTAATTATTTTGCAATAAAACACACACACACACACACACACACACACACAAAATAAATCACACCTAAGAGAATATACCAAACACACACACACACAGTGCATATGTATGTGTATAATCTGCTCAAGTTAGGTTGAACTCTTTGTCCTGTTGTTGACTGTTCTTGATCTTGTTCTTTCTCGTCCTCCTCTTCCTCCACCTTGTATACACACTCTTCCATACCTCTCAGATTGATGGATGCACCCATGCCATCTGTGCACTTTGAACTGGCTTATATTTTGTGCATTCACATATTTAGAAACAAGTGTGAACAGTTTTGAATTATTGTGTGTAAATGATGACAACCGTGTTGCAGTTGTGTTTAACTTTTGCTTTCTTGTGTTTAGGGTTTTGCATCACAGTGCAAATTGCGTTTCAGTGAGTGAGAATGTGTGTAGAGTTTTGCGAAAAGAGTGCATGAGATCTGCAAACTGTGTCTAAACTGCCTGAACTTGTTTAAGGTTTTGCAGAAAGAGTGATTTATTTGACAAATTGGTTTAGGCTATTGAGAACTTGGTTCAGAGAATGGGATTTTGTGTCTTAGCAAATGTGAAAAACTGTAAAACTTTAGAGTACAATACAATTTAGCACAATAAAAATGAAAATTATTAAACTCATGTTGTTAAATGAATAAATGCATCAGAAAAATGTAAGTGTGTATCAAATAGGAATATGTAGCCTTACAGTGTTGAATTATATAAGTTTGTACAGGTATACGTTTCAATTGAATACATAAAAAGCGCATTGATTCTTGGAAAATAATACTAAAAGAGTCTCCAAGAAGCAGACAATGCAAAAGAAAATTTGCTTACCCAATTCCATTAAACAGAACCAGACTCTTACAGCTCTCAATATCATTTGTCTCGGTTTGTCAGTGCAAAATTAAGGTGTGCTGCTTATTCAATCAGTGACATTGAGGAATAGTGAGTGAGTGAGTGAGTGAGTGTGTGTTTGTGTGTGTGTGTGTGTGTGTGTGTGTGCATGTAAAACATGGCAACTGCTTAGTGTTCTCCAGCTCACCAACACCACCTACACTCCTCTATGCAAACATACACAAACACATATGAGGGATGCACAACATGTCTCATATAGAGAGATGCTTAATGTATCAGCGCACTTTCTCTCTCTCTGCATGTCATGTGACCATTAACCAATGTCGTAACTATGAACAAGCAAATGTATTGTTAAATTAATGAAATATTACATTAAAATTACTTCAATACTTCAAGTAAATATTTTAGATCATAGGAATTCAGCTCGCAGAAAAGTTTGGTAATCCCTGGATTAGATATTATGTTCGGCCTTCAAAATGTTACATATAGTTTAAACCAGGGGCGATTCTAGGATTTTAATTTTAGGGGGGCTCAGCCCCCAGTGAGGGTATAATAATAATTATAGCCTAATATATATATATATATATATATATATATATATGTATGTACTGTATATATATATATAAAATAAAAAATGTTTAATAGGGGTCGTATACTAAACTTATTGCAGTATTCCACTGTATTGCATAGATAGGTATAACGTTTGAGTACTGAATAAGCAAGTAAATTCAAGTCTTCATGATCTCTCTCACACACACACAGCTGTTTACTGTACACACACAAACATTTCTAGTACAAACCTCTTTCATTATCTCAAGTATGCAAACCTCTTTGCCACATGCACTGGAATATGTATTATATTGAAAGTTACATTTTCAAATGAAAATGACAACATGATCGTTTTATAAAGTATGCGTTCATATATAGGATTAAAGTTCACCCAAAATTAATATAATTTAGCCTACTCACCCTCATGTTGCCCTTTTTTTAATTCTGCAGAACACAAAAGAACATATTTTGAAGACTTTAATCCTATATGGATTAAAAAGAAAACAAAACGCTGAGATGCTTTCAAAACATTTTCTTTTGTGTTCCACAGAGGTCAGAAATAAGTTTTGTAATGACATGAGGGTGATTAAAATGGATGAACTGTCCCTTTAAGAAAATAACACATACAGCTTCACAAGAGGCCTCCCATGCATGACAGCTTTACCCAGATCTGAGCTCTGTGGGTGGGGTGAACTGGAGCACAGATCACGAGGCCACTGCACTACACAGCCAGATAATTGCGTTCTGACTCAGCACATGGAGGGCTAGCGATCTACAACTGGCCAGACATCTTAATTAGAGCCTCTGTGTGTGTGCGTGAGACATTGTAAATGAGCGAGCATCGACCAGTTCTTTCCACGCAAGGAGAATGTCACTCCAATGGCAAGATCACAATGTCCTCTGTGTCACTCACAAAGACCTCACACTATACACAGAATCTGTAATATATATTAACCCATCATTAGCATGTGAAAAATGTATACTAACTTCAAAACAACAAGTTCATATTTATTGCATTGTTTTCTCAGTAACAATTTACATTAAGGTTCCCTTTGCAAAGGGTTTATAAAGGTGTTTATAAATGACTAATAACTCATTTACAAATGCATTATAAATTATTGATAAGCAGTTGAATGCATGAATAAAAAGGGTGATTTTTAATGCAATACCTGCCAAATAGTGAGCCATTTTTAACTTGTTAAAAATGACAGGTGTTCAGCTCACCCCACATTAAGGCTCATAGATAAATAAAATACATCACTTTTTAATCTTTGCTATGGATAGGCATCATGAACTCTTGGAGAGTTTAGTGGGTAAGATACAGAGTAGCTTCTGGTAAGCAACATAGTAAGAAAAATGTCATAAGTCATGTATAATTGAGAAAACCATAAATACAACACCCTTCAATCTCACTATAATAGTCTATTTTTGCTGCATAATGAAATCAATCAGGAATCTGGTTTTGAGTGAAATAGGTATGAATAAATATATTTATTAAGCATTTATAACATGTAAGTTAAAAATGACTCACTATTTGGCAGGTATTGCAATAAAATCACCCTTTTTATTCATGCATTTATAACTGCTTATCAATGATTTATAATGAATTTATAAATGAGTTATTAGTAATTTATAAACACCTTTATAAAGCCTTTACAAACGGAACCTTAATGTAACTGTTTTCTCTTGTATTTTCTACACAACATATGCTCTGATTTTTCCCTGCCCCACTCCATCCATCTCTTCATCAGTCAGAACCTCAGAGAGTCAGGGTGACTATCAATCAATGGAAGGCCATGTTTGCTTCTGGGTTGCCTCAACCCACACAGATGCGTTTACTGAAAAATTGATGACTGAAAAAAAAGAAAAAAAAGTGAACAGGGATGAGAGTGAGACTGGAAAACAACTCGTACCACCACACTTTATCTGCTTCTTTTATATTACATATACAGGAATGAACACTTTTTTGGGAAACATATAATCAGATACTCACACATGCCTAGAGTCACTGATACACCTACTTTATTTTCATGAAGACCTGAACGTAAGTAGTTGGTTTTCTTTTGGTCGTTCAGACAGACTGTGATTGTTGAGGCCACGGTGGGTATTTTTATGCTATTCCCAAATATCCCTTAAACAGCATCAGAAGGGAGAGGTTGGACAATTACCTCTATGCTTACCCTCTCTGTGCTTGTGTGGGTTTCTTTGTATTTCTGTCTGGCTTCTACTTGCACTCAGTAATTCAGCATGACTGCAGTCAATAATTCAACCTCTGATTGAACACTGGAGAACTAGGAGAGTGAAAAATAACAAGAAATGGAAAATGAGTGATAGAGTTTTATCTATCTATCTATCTATCTATCTATCTATCTATCTATCTATCTATCTATCTATCTATCTATCTATCTATCTAGCTATCCAACGCCGCCTCACTCTAGAATTCTAAACAGAAACAAGTTTATGTCATTTGTTGACAGACTCACTTAGACTACAAATTGCTTACTCAATGACCCCTTGTAAGATGAAAGTAAACCTCTTTTGTTCTGCTCTCTTTTATTATGTAACAGATGTGCCGAAGACACTGAACTGTGGGTCCATCTTTCAGCAATGACTGCTGATTACATAATGCAACTGCAGGTGCAGTCTGCGTTCACAAATGATTTACTCGTCACAGAATACAAACACATGAATGAAGTTCTGTTTCAGTTCTTTTACTTTTTAATGTCTATTCATTTTTAAAGAGGGGCTGTGTTGTGCATTACATCATTAGTTTTAGGACTTTATAGGCAATCAGATTCAAATAAAAAGGAGAAAATGAATTTGATTTGAACTGAAGTGATAAATGAACAAATTAATTAAGACATTAACACCAATATGCTCTTTCACGCTGCAATTGCTCGCAATACAGAACAACTCTTAACAAATGCACACACACACACACAAAAAACACAAGGGTAACAGAACTGTGAATGACTCAGGGAAATACAAAAGATGCTGCAAATGAACTTTTTCCATCTCTATAGATTAGTCTCAAAGTCTAGATTAGTCAGCGTTTAGTCTGAAATTCAATACTGGCTGCATGGTTTTGATTGGCAACATGTGGATTTTTTTTTTTTTTAAACAGCACAGCAGCCTGGAGGCCTAAAACAGCATATCATCAGTGTCCTGCTGGATTGCACTGGAGAAATGCAACAATTACATACTCACATGCAGGGTAAGAGACGGCTACACTACAGCACATAACATTCAAGTCATACTAATAAAATGTCCCAATTTTGAATGTAAAGTCAGAGGTTTGTATTAGAATGACACAGCCTGCACAAAATATTGTTTTCACAGAAATGCATGATAAAATTACTTACACTAAGAAAATATATGCTACATGACAATTTTTAAAATAAGTGCTAAACTATCAATTCTTAAATGACTAACTTTTTCACAAATATGTGTATTATGTCCTATTGTAACACATGAAAATGACTGATTTCATGAATCAGAGGGATGTGTGAGTTTACACATTTAAACACCATGTTTTTTGTAATACATATGGCTTTCTTTCTTCTGTGGAATAAAAAAGGATCCATAGAATTAAAGATAATAGTGACCATGGTTGTCAAGTGCAATTTTCAAGACAAAAAAATAATTTCACATAATGCTATCAAATGGCCTTATGTGAAACATGGCCTTATGAGAACATGTGGAATATGCATGAATTGTCTGATTTTATGAGGCTTTACTGATGCTTTTCTGGTGCTTTTTAGAGATTGACAAGTCCTAGTTCCCAGCACATCCTTTGTGAAGAAGATCTGCCTACCATCTTTTGAATCAGAAAAAGAATATGAAATAGGTTTGAATCTACATGAATATCAATAAATGATGACATCATTTTCATTTTTGGTGAACTCTCTATTTATCTCTCACTTATCTCTTTCCCTTTATTCTCTCTCCTAGATAAATACTTCCCACTGCAGATGGCTGAGTGCTGTTTGTGTGGGATCTCACGTGTGATTCTGCTAAACAACCCCCTGAGTGGAGCTCTGATTCTGGCTGCATTGCTGCTGGAGAGCTCCTGGCAGGCTCTTCTGTGGATGCTCGGCCTTTTGGCCTCCACCTTCACAGCTATAATCCTGGGACAGGACTGGTGAGGAATTACACCCCTACATATGCACAAAAGTACATATGCATAGACCAAAACATGCACAAGTGAATGTATACTCAGGCATCCAAGCATGAACAAAAAACATGGTTATAGCAAAAACAAAAAACATGTGTTGTTATCTATATTATGTACAACAGAATGCACAAAAACTCAAGCATATCATCAGTGTCCTGCTGGATTGCACTGGAGAAATGCAACAATTACATACTCACATGCAGGGTAAGAGACGGCTACACTACAGCACATAACATTCAAGTCATACTAATAAAATGTCCCAATTTTGAATGTAAAGTCAGAGGTTTGTATTAGAATGACACAGCCTGCACAAAATATTGTTTTCACAGAAATGCATGATAAAATTACTTACACTAAGAAAATATATGCTACATGACAATTTTTAAAATAAGTGCTAAACTATCAATTCTTAAATGACTAACTTTTTCACAAATATGTGTATTATGTCCTATTGTAACACATGAAAATGACTGATTTCATGAATCAGAGGGATGTGTGAGTTTACACATTTAAACACCATGTTTTTTGTAATACATATGGCTTTCTTTCTTCTGTGGAATAAAAAAGGATCCATAGAATTAAAGATAATAGTGACCATGGTTGTCAAGTGCAATTTTCAAGACAAAAAAATAATTTCACATAATGCTATCAAATGGCCTTATGTGAAACATGGCCTTATGAGAACATGTGGAATATGCATGAATTGTCTGATTTTATGAGGCTTTACTGATGCTTTTCTGGTGCTTTTTAGAGATTGACAAGTCCTAGTTCCCAGCACATCCTTTGTGAAGAAGATCTGCCTACCATCTTTTGAATCAGAAAAAGAATATGAAATAGGTTTGAATCTACATGAATATCAATAAATGATGACATCATTTTCATTTTTGGTGAACTCTCTATTTATCTCTCACTTATCTCTTTCCCTTTATTCTCTCTCCTAGATAAATACTTCCCACTGCAGATGGCTGAGTGCTGTTTGTGTGGGATCTCACGTGTGATTCTGCTAAACAACCCCCTGAGTGGAGCTCTGATTCTGGCTGCATTGCTGCTGGAGAGCTCCTGGCAGGCTCTTCTGTGGATGCTCGGCCTTTTGGCCTCCACCTTCACAGCTATAATCCTGGGACAGGACTGGTGAGGAATTACACCCCTACATATGCACAAAAGTACATATGCATAGACCAAAACATGCACAAGTGAATGTATACTCAGGCATCCAAGCATGAACAAAAAACATGGTTATAGCAAAAACAAAAAACATGTGTTGTTATCTATATTATGTACAACAGAATGCACAAAAACTCAAGCAATTACAATACAAAACAGGTACAAACCTACAAAAACAAACCTCAGAGGCACAAACTGCTTTTACAGCTGCAGTCTTGACAAGCAACGGTGTGACAACAGTCTGTTGACAACTGATGATGAGATGATTTTAACAAAGCAGATATAACAAACAAAAATACATTTTATACAATTCTAAAGCAATACAAGTCAGTACACTTCATAGAATTTTTGTGACTTTTTATTTGGTTGATTCTCTAAAAATAACAGGTCAGTTCGTTAACAGATTCATTCCTTCGGGAATTGAACTTCACTGGTTGTGCTGTGCGTTTTTGATTCACTAAAAAGAACTGGCTCAAAAGAATAACTTGTGTGGTAATTGAACTTCACTGGTTGTGCTGTTTGCTTTTGATAAACAAAAAAGAACGGACACACAAGAGTCATCCATTTGGGAATCAGAATACAGTTTATTCTGGTAAATGAATGTTACTGGTTTGTTAAGCATAACTGGCTCATAAAAGCCATTTTAATATATAGGTTTGTTCATGATTTTTTTTTTTAAACGTTTCTTAAGAGTTATTTGTGCAGAAATCTGATTTCATTGGAGACGGTGCTTGTTCTTTATAAACAAAAAGCAGTTGTTCGTAAGAGTAATTTGTTTGGGAATCAGAGTACATTGGTGCGCTGTATGTTATTGATTCACTACATAGAACCACCTCATAAGAGTCATTCATATGGGAATTGGACTTCAGTGATCACGCAGTTTGTTTCTGTTAAAAAGAACCACATAAGAAGTCATTTGTTCTGGCTCGAGAGCCATTCTTCAGGAGTTAGACTACAGTGGTCGTGTCGAAAACTTCATTTGTTCTCCATTTAATCTTATTGCATACACACATACAGATACACACATACACAAAGAAAACATTGTCACACACATATACAGTAGCTGCCTGTTTCTGCATCTAAGGTTGCATCAAAGAATACCCCTGGTGTGGTGAAAAGCACATTTTATCTAAGCGTAAGACAGGCATGGCTAGAAGAGAAGCTCATGCTGATTCCAGTCTCACATGTGATCCTAACCTGCATGTGTGTCTGCAGTGAGGAGGTCTCCAGTGGCCTTCACGGATTTAATGGAATACTGGTGGCTCTGCTGATGGGATGGTTCAGCTCTGCTGGAGATTGGTACTGGTGGCTTCTGCTGCCTGTGTGTCTTGGTGGAGCTGCAACTTAAGATACACACAAGCCAATTAATTGATACCAAACACATTATTCTGTCATTTTCTGCCACATTCACAAGAACAAACACAAAATAATTGCTGACTCCCTCAAATCCAAACATCCTTTTTCTCACATGTCTTAGAGCTTTTCTTTACAGCAGTTTGTCTTCGTTTTTGGGCCGCTGGGATTTACCAGTGAGCATCTTCCCCTTTAACACAGTCACCCTGCTGTATCTGGCCTGTACTGGCACTTCAAACCCCTATTTTCCAAACTATCCTGCACAGCCACCAGGGGCCCCAGAGAGCACCAACCACACCCAACTCCATGTTCCACAGGTGAGAGGATGAAAAAGAATGGCAGAGAAAATAATGAACATGAAAGAGAACAAAACTCAAATTACTTGCCCCTCATGCAATATCTATCCTGTCATATTATTGATTAGGTTTTATTGTATTGTCCCTCTCGCTCTCCCTCTCATTCCTCATAGCTCTGTCTTTTTATTTGTCATCTTTCTGTTTAGCCTCTTTAACCTCCTTTATCGTCACACACAATGGTCTATTCCTTCCTCCATCTATCTTCATCATCCTTCCATTTCACATCTCTCCTGAGATGTGTGTGTGTGTGTGTGTGTGTGTGTGTGTGTGTGTGTGTGTGTGTGTGTGTGTGTGTGTGTGTGCTTAGATGCATTTTATTGTTTATTGCGTATTTATTGCATTACTCTGGTCTGTTGAATGACATTAGGGTGCACTGGGCTGATCCACTTTCTTTGACACAGTACAGCAACTGACTGTTATGGGCTGTTTATAGCTTACATATTTATCCACTAAATAGTATCTGTGCTTTTCCCATGTCTCCATGGAGACAGCTTGATCCGGTAATGACGGGTGCACAGGGCTAAAAGAGATCATGGAAAATTATTTATATTGTATCTGTTTTTATCGCTCACTGTCATGAATATTCAATGTGAAAGCAGCAGAGTTAAAAGCACATTAAAATTGGCTTTTAAAATTAGATCATATTATATCTAGCTAATGAATCATGCTCAACATTATAACATGGGTATAATAGCAATATTAATATATATCAGTAAATGTGCAAGATTTTAATTTATATGCTTATGTACTTGACAAAACAATATTTTAACATAATTTCATATAATTAAAGTAATGGCTATAAAAGTTGATATGTCATCAGTTTTCTGTTTCAATAGGAAATACATCAGAGCAGGAAAGAAAACATTTTATAGAGTCTTTAAGATAAGCTAACATAGATAATAAAAAGATACACTACCACTCAAAATCTTGGGCAGAGTATGATTTTTTTTTTTATTATTATTTTATTTAGCAAGGATGATTTAAATGGATCAAAAGACATTTATAATGTCACAAAATATCATTATATTCAAATAAATTCTGTTCTTTAACTTTCTATTTATCACAAAATCCAGATTTTCTTTTAATAAAAAAATTTAATGTTTTCGAAAGAAGTTTCTTATGCTCACCAATGCTGCATTTAATTGACCAAAAATACTGTAAAAACAGAAATACTGTGAAATACTATTACAATTTCAAATAAAAAATGTTTTCTGTTTTAATATATTTTTTAAATGTAATTTATTCATGTGATGGCAAAGGAAAATATTAAGCAGCACAGCTGTTTTCAATATTGATAATAATAATGTTTCTTGAGCAGCAAGTCAGCATATTAGAATGAAAATATAGCTCTATCACAGGAATAAATTACATAAAAAAAATATAAAAATAGAAAACAGTTATTTGAAATTGTTATATTTACAATATTGTTTTTATATTGGTCAAATAAATGCAGCCTTGGTGAGCATGAGCGACTTCTTTTAAAAGCATTCAAATCTTACTGAATCAAAACTTTTAAATGGTATATAAATGTTATATGCATATATAAAAATATATTTTGTCTAAAATAATACCTTCAGAGAAGACATCGGTAATGTATTGTAAAACAAGCATCATCTGATGGTGCGTTTGCTCCTGTTTCCCATCAGCTCCTGCAGGGGGTGGTGTTGGGCGTAGGGCAGATCTTTGCATGTGGGACTCTAGGCCCATCTCTGCTCATCCTGGGTGCTGTTTTCCTCTTCTCACCCATTCTGGCTGTCTCTGGCATTAGCACTATGGCAGGTAAGTCAGAATTGAAAGCAAATATCAGCAGAACAGTGTTTTGCAGAAATAATATCTCAAAAGTTTCACCTAGACCCCAACGAGATTGAATGGAGACCAAACAGAAATCTGATTTAACAAGTAACCTAAGTCAATTATAAGTCAAAGATCTAAATATGAACTCAAACATTTCTCATAAACATTTCCAAGACCACATTATCTGAACAACGGCATCCACATTCATTTTAAAGCTCTATTCTGTATCTGTAAGCTGACAATTGTCTAATGTTTTTCTAATTTCATTTCAAAATTGTTACTTAAACATAATATGAGGATGCTTTTGAGCTATGAAAGAGACACATCTGAGCAATATAAATATAATTTTTTGGAGCATCTGCATGATGGTTTGGAAGGATGTGGGATAGAGATACATGCATGAACAGAATGAATCAAACATTTTTGTGTAAATCTTGGGTTCTCTAGGCCTTTGTGCTGGCTGTGTAGCTGTGATTTACTCAGCTAAAGCAGCCTGCAAACAGATTTCCTCAAATGCCCACTATGCAGAAGATGATTATTTGCACCCGCCGCAAGATAATTGGCCAGTTTTACAGTTGCGTTTACCACCTCAAGACCATGGAAGGTGTTTTTACCCTTTCACTCATTCACTCTCTCGTATACACAGACACAGTCTTTCTTTCTCCTTTATATTTTATACACAGCCATACAGAGACATATGAGTCATCGCAGACAGGTTGGATAGACTGTGTGTATGTGTGTGTGTGTGTGTGTGCACGGAGTAGGTAGAAGAGACTGATGTAAGGTACCTCATCCCCAGCACAACACCCACAAACATAATACACACTGTTTCATTTCATCCCCTGCGGTGTGATTCACACTCACAAACTTCAAAGCTCTCATGTAATATTCCATAAAGGAGCAGGAAGAGTCTTTGGGCTTATCAGGGACTCTGTTTATGTGAGACAGCTGTCTCTTATTCCCCGTAGTAGTTGATTTTAGAAAGGAAAAAACACTTTTCTGGCTTGTTCCTTCTCTCTTACCCTGTCTGTGTGTCAGCAGAACATTTAAATTTAATTTGGAAAGGGTTCAGATTGCTAGAGGTTTGAACCGTAGAAGACAGATGAAGAGAAGGAGAGGAAGCAGTGCTGGATTACGGATGGGGCCAATGGAGCCAGTGCCTCAGACTGTTAGGGGCATCTAAAGTCTCAGGCCGCACATTCTGAGACTGATAAAGGAAGCTGAACATCAGGGCCCTCGGTGCATACACTGCTGTTCAAAATCTGGGATCTGAATTATTTTATTTGTATTTATTTATTTATATTTATATTTGATTTGATTGATTGATTGAAATGAATACTTTCATTCAGTAAGGATGCTTTACATTGATCAAAAGGCATTTATGATGTTATGAAATATTTCTATTTCAAATTAATTCTGTTTTTTAACATTTCATTTATCAAAGAATCCTGATAAAAAATGTATCATGGTTTCCAAAATTATTAAGCAGCACAACTGTTATGATCATGAGAAATGTTTCATGAGCAGCAAATCAGAATGATTTGAAGAATCATGTGACACTAAAGACCATAAGTTTTGCCATCACAGGAATTAATTACATACATTTATTTTTACTGTATTTTTGATCAAATAAATGCAGCCTTAGTGAGCATAAAATACTTTTTAAAAAATGTTTTTGAACAAAACAACAACAACAACAAAAACAGTAGTGTACCCACCACAGGTCTCTCTCACATTCAAAGTTTACTTCTCTAGAGTAAATTTACTGTTGAATTTCTTTACATTTCAATTAATTAGATTTCAATTTATGTATCCTGTATGCTACCTGCAAATTCAGGAATTGGAATTAAAAGACATTCTCAATTCATTTCTGAATGCGCATGGATCTTCTATTTTATTTGGGCAAAATCATACTTTTTCAAAAGTTGTACAATATGGGCAGCAGGGGGTGGGGACATGGGGGGTAGACGTGCCAACGGGCCTTGTGGGAACCATGATCCCACCCTGAATATAAGACTTCCCAAAGATATGAAGACTGTCCCTCACTCACACACACACACACACACACACACACTCTAAACATCCTCACCATCTAATCAATACCACTCTTATTCCTCCACTCATCTTACCATCCCATTCTCCTCTTTTTTATTGATTAATGGTTCACTCTTTTCTCCCTGGTGTAGAATCTCTCTCTTACTACAGTATGAAATTACATCTGTATTTTACCAGACAGAAGCCTACAGAGAAATAGAAACTCTTTACAAGATTGACAGAGTTCTTCACAACTAGGATCAAGCTGCTGTGCTGTATTTGCTGTGCAGGTGGTGTGTTTGCTGGTCTGATATCCTAAATAATGTTGAGCATGTGATTGTCCACCTCATGAGCTGAAACTAAATATTATTTAAGCTATTTTATTTACTATTTATTTATATGAGGTTTAGAATTGTTTATACATTTGTATAATTTTGTAAAACTTCTTACCAGAATTTGGCTCTAAATAAAGCTTACATATATTTCCTTAATATTTTCTAGTAATAAACAAAGTAAAAACATAACAATTATAAATTAAAGTCACGTTTTCTGGGACAAGCCAAATCTGTTTACCATATTATACTCATAAGGACTGTATGAACAGGTGAACTCGTAACCTTTGGATTGACTGAAACATGAAAAATAGTTTCTGTATGACAGGTAGTTGAGGAGTTGAAATGGAATAACTGATGTATCATCACGTTATCACCAATCATCAAAACCTCTAATCTAAATCTAATCTACAACAAATGAAGTCTACAATTAATTCTTAAGACCCTCCACAACAAACATATTAAGTTTAGTGGTTTGGTTTCATTTTAGGAAGAGTCGTAAGAAAGTGCAATAGACTAAAAGTGGTTTATACAGTGGGGGGGAAAAGTATTTAGTCAGCCACCAATTGTGCAAGTTCTCCCACTTAAAAAGATGAGAGAGGCCTGTAATTTTCATCATAGGTATACCTCAACTATGAGAGACAAAATGAGAAAAAAAATCCAGAAAATCACATTGTAGGATTTTTAAAGAATTTATTTGCAAATTATGGTGGAAAACAAGTATTTGGTCAATAACAAAATTTCATCTCAATACTTTGTTATATACACTTTGTTGGCAATGACAGAGGTCAAACATTTTCTGTAAGTCTTCACAAGGTTTTCACACACTAGAGATTTCACTAAATCGAAACTGAATAGGGACTCTTAATCCTGTCCCACAGCATGAGGTGTGGTGCACTGATAATGAGATCTGGTGTTTATTAGACAGGCTGTTCATGCTGTCCTCTCTACATGACTCATAGTATAAACCCACTAGCTAAAGTTAGCACGGGTTCACAACTGATGATCCTGCACACACGTATGCACAAAAAAGAACCCGTAACCGTGGTGATATTGAAACTAGGAATATAATGAATCTATTCTGGGTCACAGATGTTGAATATAGGTTATAGAATTGCATAGATGGCATATTATCAATACATTGAAAGCGTTATATAACCGGATCAGAGATAAGTTATGGAAACACCAGAAACAATATTGCATGCTTTGAGATTCACAGCATTTGCATTGGAAATGAAGAGCCGATTTCCCGCTGCACTCAAGATTGTGCATGTGTGTGTGCTTGAGAAGGAATCTTTTAAATCTATTCTTCAAATCTCAAATTATTTCAGTGACACTCTAATCATAAAACATCACAGTAGAAATATAAATTTTCCACACAACACAATCTGTTTTATAATTAGTATTACGTAACAGCTTGACATTTGTAACAGCTTGAATGTACAACCATGCAAACTGATTCATGTGATGAAAAAACAACAACATTTGTTTATAAAAAGGAAACAAATATCTGAGAGAAAGAGAGTGAACAGACGGTATGAGCCTCCTGGGTGACATTGCTTTCCTGTTCAGACAGGAAAGAGAATTCTGGGTGTGTCCTTCTGCTGATGCTAGGTTTTCATCTCAGTGCTCTTTTATCGGCAGTCCTTTTACTGGGAGTCCTTCAGTATAAAACAATGAAACAAAGAGTCCCAGAAGTACAGTCAGAAGGATGCATTCGAATGTTTCGCACTGAAGCTCATTCTCCCTTCGGTGTCTCTGCACCTTGAACAGGGTACAAAATAGGGACTAATATTTTTTTAAATGCTTTAAAATATATATTTTTCTTTTTTAACAAAAATAAATATTTCATTAACCTGAAACAAAAGAATACACACATTACACACACACACACACACACACTTCATTCATTTTATACACTGCCGTTCACAAGTTTGGGGTTTCTTGTAAGATTCTTTAATGTTTTTGAAAGAAGTCTCTTATGCTCAGCAGGACTGCATTTGTTTGTGCAAAAATACAGTGAAAACAGTAATATTGTGAAATATTAATACAATTTAAAAATAACTGTTTTCTATTTGAATATATTTTAAAATATAATTTATTCCTATGATAGAGCTGTATTTTCAGCATCATTACTCCAGTCTTCAGTGTCACATGATCCTTCCGGAATCATTCTAATGTGTTGATTTGCTGCTCAAAAAAACATTTCTTATTATTATCGATGTTGAAAACAGTTGTTCTGCCTAATATTTTTGGGGAAGCAATAATGTGTGTTTTTTTCAGGATTCTTTGATGAATAGCAAGTTCAAAAGAACAGCATTTATTTCAACATTATAAATGTCTTTTCGGTCACTTTTGATCAATTTAAAGTGTCCTTGCTGAAATAGATAGTATTCACACAAAACAAAATGCTTTAGAAAAGTAATGATCCAGTCTATACCCCATTCATTGAAATGTGCCAGTTCTGTATAGCTGCACCATGGTCAGGAAAAACGAACGAGCAAGAGCTCTTGAAGCCCAATCCATGTTCTGAAGGCTGCTGTACAAATAAAACAGGGTAAATTGAGGGGAAGGTGAACACGGATTTCTTTGAAGGTGAACTGCTGAATGACAGAGTACTTGCATTTTAATCTTCTGTCAGAGAGAATTGGGTGAAACTTGCTTGTTCAGTATGTGGATCCTGACAGAAAACCCATATGGAAAAGGGTGCTAAAATTGCTCATGACATATATAAGCAAATGTATTTTACCAAAATAATACTGCTGAATAACATAACATATATTCCAAAGCCTTGCCTGCTTAATTAGACAAAGAAGTGATCAAATGTGAGCATGCGGCCATGCAAATATCATATATCATATATCGTAAGAGGCGTGTTCTTGAGTTTTATCGAACAGATTTGTGCTGTGAAAAAATGCAAAAAGAGATAGAAGAGAAAGACGACGTGCTACAATACAAGAAAGCTCAAGGGAATGGTGGGCGGGTATGAAGTCTGAAGGCTTGGACATGAACATGGGGGCAACAACTATAGACTAAAAACTAGCCTATATTCTGTAATGAATATACATTGCCACCTTCAGTTCACAATCAGAACTACAATCAAGAACCCAAGCCATTTAAATACATTTGTGTACACCAGATATCAAAAATTATTTCACAAAATACCCTAAAAATTCAAAACTGACCCATCAAGAGGATGAAGTACGTCATATAATACACATAATACCTTCTTTATGCAATGAAGCGTAATACAGTTTGATACCTTTATTGTTGCACATTACGTACAGGTTCACATAAATGCAGTACACAGTTAGCAGTATGCTAGTATTTCAGTCTGAACACAACCATGGTAAGGGAG